ATATCAGATCATGTGAATATCATCCTATGGACAATATTCACAGTTAGTTTTCATATTTAGGATCGTCTTATATTCCAATCAATAAGAATGTTCCAATCAATATGAATATAAGCTGAATTACATAAGATGATCTTAAATATAAAAACAGACTATGGACACCGGTCAAAGTTCAGAAATTTTCTCTATGCTGCCATCTACCAGTTTCCTATTGTTAATAAAAAGGGGATCATTTTATTCGATGTATTCTGTTTTGTAAAGGCAGAGTTTCAAGTACAGGTAGCACGTAGTAGATGGCTCTAATGGCAATTTTCAAGAAATCGATACAGCAGAGATCTACATTCCCACATCCGAAAAATATTATGACTGCGTTAAAAACTAAAACAAGAAATATTAATCAAGCAAAACTATAACCGTATAAAAAAATAACTTAAAAAGCAATTGCAACAAATAGAGTAGAAAAATAAAATGAAAAGAATAAGCTGGAGTAAATCCTACGTAGAATTGCAACAAACACATGCATCAAGCAGCTTGTATAAAGTGCCCTTAAATTTTCTGGCTTTAAGCAGGGTAGCTACGCGGAAAAATCTATGACCCGGCTTAAAAGCGGCGTGTCTAATTGCACCGGCACGCCGGAGGCCGTTAAAGTAAGTCTCGGCTAGAAACGTTTGTACCATGAAAAGCAGAGAGAAAAGAAATATAAGAAAATAAAGGGGATTGGTAAGGAACGAGGTACTTAACCGATTGCCGCCACGCAGAAGGAGGAGAAACAACGCGAGGCTTTAATGCGACCAATTATCACGAAAGGCTAAGCGATTTTCCGCCGCGTCCGTGCTATCGAACGCTCTCGGAGCGAAATGGCTCCAATTATCAAGATTGACAGTCGCCAATTCGGTTAATTAGTAATTACGAAAATAAAGATGCGATACAACTGCGTACAGTGTTTCAAGTGTACGAGGAATTTCGAAAAACGCAGTTTCATGAATGTTGCAATTTCCATAAATGAATAATCTACATAATTTCATATCAACAGTTTTGCATCGTAAAGATATTTACAGATGCATTAACATCAATATTAATAATTCTGAGTTGCATTTTAATCAATATTTACTCATACTTAAAGCAATAAAAGAAGCACTAATTTTCATTTACGTAATATCCAATCACGCAATTGACCAGACAGTCAAGAATAATGGACATAAATGAGCAAAAAGAAGTGAAAGAAGAAGGGAGGGTGAGATTCGCCATGGAGCAAGGCAGGTCCGATGAAATTTATAATTTGCCGAAGTTCCTCTGGCGTGGGTGATAATGGGGCCCGAGTTGCTTTGGGTCTAGCTTCGTTCCTTTTTAAGTTTTAAATAGTTTCGCGCGAGTTTTAATTAGGAAATTCATCCCACCGCCCCATTCGCCTCTATTATGCTCAACCAACCTCATGAGCGGCGACGACGAGGGTGGCGACGGCAGTGAGGGAGGTGACGGCCCGTTGAAAGGGGTATAAAAAAAACACGATGGTCATCGTTTTTTCCAGTTAGCAGTAACGAAAATTACGACGAACTTATAACGAGACGAACTTTTCTTCGATCGTATTATTAAGTAATTATGCTATAGTTCGATCGTAAAATAGAGACTTGCTTCTTCGCCGTTCTATTGTATATTTTATAAAAAAGAAAAGAATCTTCGATATTTTAGGTTTCACTATGCATACAGTTGTTATATTGCTTGAAATAATCGAATAATACATCTATTAAGTTAACCAGTGTCTCTAAACATCACATGCCAAATATGTCTGTTTTTCAAAAATTGTCTCTCTTATTCGCTTCATTGTTATTAAATATTATTTTCCAACGATGTAATTGAAGAATAAAAACGAAACGAAACGTCAATCAAGATTTTAAGCAGTTTTACGAAATAATTATTTAAATGATAAAACAAAGTTCTCTTTAAAATATTTCTCATTCGATAATGTGGTAATCATGATAGCATTAGATATTTTTGAATCTTTTTTGCATAATGATTTTTGTATAATTTTTGTATAATTTTATCATTATATAATTTATATTAAGTTTATTTAAGTAATCTTGCTAGAAGATGCATAATAAGTAATAAGAAATATGAGAGATAATTCCTCAAATATGCTTTGAATAGCTTCTCAGTATATATTTGCATTTGAATGATGTATTCGATCAAATATCATTGATCATGTCAACTTTATGCTAATTTGACATTAGCATAAATCAGAAAACGCAGAGAGCATTAATCACTCGGGATCACCTTGAGAAACTGCGTGTCTCACGCAATGCGAAAAAAAACGAAAAATCCAAAGTAGAACGTCTTCATTGTATTCCACGTGGCCGGTAGCATCGATCGCCTCGTACTTTTTGCCTTTCCCCTTTCGCTTTGATACGTCCGACCCGAGAGAAGCATCATTCCCTCCCGCCCGTAACAGCTCTCCCTGGCCGTCTCCCCGCTGATGCTCCCAGTGCTGCAGCAGCCACCCCTCCGGCAACCCCATTCGCCGTTTACTTTATTCTTATCTGAAATACTAAAGAGAGGCGAAGGTGGTCGTCCCTTGCTCTTTCTTCCCGCTTTTCCCGACTCGCCTCGCCATTACCCTTCTTCCTCCTCGACCACCTCCGACGCGGTATCCGCGGTCTTTCTTCCCTCAGGCTGCTCGAGAAGGAGGTGGATCACCTCCACCTCCAACTTCGTCTTCTCTCAAGGCGGAAGGAGCAAAAAGCTCAGAAAGAAGCGAAAGATTGGTGGAAGTAGGGGAGTTGACCCGGTAGTGGGGAGGTTCGTGATTATTTTTAGGGGTTTGTTTGCCCTCGCAGCTCGCGGTGGAGATCGCAAGGGTAGAGAGTGCAGTGGGGCTAGATAGATATAATATGGTAGATACTTCTCTTGATCGAGAGATGATATATCAACGTATTCATTAAGTTGATAAAGTATGATTCATACTTTATAAATATATTATCACAATTAATAAAAATTAAACATATTTAAAAAATAATAAATTAAAAATTGTGAATGCTTCAAGTGATGTATTAAATTTACAATAAAAGAGACTTAAAAGCCTAATCAAATTCTAGTGAAAATTCTTTTATCAAATAAAACTTATTGGAAATTCGATCTGACATTCTATTATCGAGAAGTCACGTTAAGTGTTTTTTTTTTCACAGTTCACTTTTTTATTTTAAAATGGCGATAAGACAGGGTTGCACCGTTTGCTTGCGAATGGCTAAAGATTTTCAGCAGATATTCTCGATCTCTTCCGCGTGCCTTTTTATGACTGGACCGATCCTAAACCTTCCCATCCCTTGTTGTATTCATACTCTCCAGCGATTTTACGAGGCTGCCCTCCAGAGCCACTCTTTATCACTCACACTTTTTAGAAGAACATAAAAATAGCGTACGGTACTTAAAACCTACCGACTTTTTAGTAGCGATCTATGTACGAGCGTAATATCTCGTAAGTGTCTGATGCTACTCGAAGCGCAGTAACGTCTTCTTAATTAAAAATATTTCTTTAAAATCATCTTTTTGCGTTGTTTGACTATAATTATATAATTATATAATTAAATATTTAGCTAAGATGTAATTTTGCAAGAAGAAAATTTTGAAGGAGAAAAACAGACTTAATTCAAATACTTCTACCTTGGGATTATTTAAGCGCTTTCAGAAAATTATGTGTGCGTAAATATGCGTATGTGGATAAATTTATTAAAAGAATATATTTGCATGATTTATATTTTTTTTTTCGCTACATTTACACTCCAATAATATATCATGTTTATGGAAGAATTGTATGGAAGAATTGGGATCTTCTAAGCCGTGTTTTATAAGCGACGCAAACGACGCAGGCCGCTTTGTACAACCCCTGAAAGAACTGCTGATTAGAAATTCGTAAAAATGCTGACCAAAAAGGCTTCCGGGTGTCCGAGTTGCAAAACCTGTTTTACGATAGTCCAATTTTCAACCCTTTCTCTTCCGCTTCCGTCCCCTTTGCATCGACCCCTCTCGCCCTTTTGCCCCAGTAACCTCTAGGGTAAGAAATTATCAGACTTCTGAGAAATATTTTATTTCTGCGCTCGCAGTGACGTTGCACGAAATAAACATTTACTTCACTTCTATCAAAAAAGTGCGTTAATAAAAGTCTTTGAATAATATATTTATAAATTACTAATATACTTATAAATTATATGTAGAATAATTTTTTTTTTCAAAATTATATGTAGAATAATTTTTTTTTTCAAAATAATTTATTTTGTATAAATTTAGATTACATTTCCTAAATAAAAACATCCTTATTTAATCTTATTTGTTCTTTATTCAATTAATTTTTTATTTTTTTTTTTGTCAATGCTACGAAATCATTAATTCTCAAATGGATGATCGCAAAAAAAGAAAAACACAAAAAAGACGAACAAAATTCTGACCAGTGCAAAATCATTAATTTCATTACGACCTCAAACGACGTAAAAACAAAAGTTCTTAAATTTATGGTACAATCAAAAAGTCTTTATTATTTTCCCAGTGACGCCGCATCGCCATCTTTTGTTTTTGCCCTCTGCCTTGCCTTATGACGTCATAATTTATCCAGCCGACTATTGTCCCTTTCAAGACATTATCAAAAGGACGAGATCTTCGCCCATCCCTCCGTTTCGCAAACGCGGAATAGCGAGAGATTTATAACCTTTTTTACAAGACTAATCGATTAATCATTGTCATCGTTTATAATTATATTATAATTATATTCACGTAATAATTATATTCACGAGAGAATAATCTTAGAGTTCCGATAACAAGCAATTTTTGTGGCAAAAATTTAACTGACGAATCGAAACGCTCTCTCTCTCTCTC